CTTAAACGTTGTGAAAATAAACTAAATACAGAACGTTCTAGAATATGCATATTGCACAATGATTACAAAAATATAGGGCTTGAGAAGATAGAAGTTGTAGAGATGAACTCAATGTATAAATTCAGAATGTTCCAGAGTATGCATATTGCACAATGATGATAAAAATATAGGGCTTGTGAAGGTAGAAACTGTTCGTTAGAATTTATAATCTTGGAGATTATAACAGTATATTTATAAAAGTAAATAAATAGAGGTCTAAACTTTTAAGAAGATTTAAAAAATAAAGAGTTTAGTCAGCTCATATTTTTAAAGGTCTTGAAAATAATTGACAAGTTGTCCATGAAGCTGCAAAGGCAGATAAAACTAACTATACCTAGCGGTGAAAATATGAACTTTCTTGGTTAGCTGAAACTACATGGATACATGGTTACAAGGATAGAAAGTTAGAGGTATAGATGAAAGTGGTTTTAACCTAGACATATGTCTTCGCAAGGTGGTTGTAATATTGACTGTGCGCATGCGCATTAATGCCTGGTTCTGCCTGGAAACAACACAGGCAGTTGGTCATAATATATATCTATATTATAGAGGTTGTGAGATAAGGCGCCTGTGTGTATATCTGAACGAATTAGCTATGTATTTGCCAAGTTTCATGTGTATAATAAATTCATGAAATAAATCAATTGTTTATAATGAAAACATTTTGTTGTGTTTTGATTTGATTTGCAACATTTCACGTTGACAAATTTGTAAGTTATAACCCCACATACAAATATATATGTTTCTTTTCTTATAATTTCCCAATTTACCCTTTATACATTATTATTTATTAACCTGTTATTCTTTTCATATTGTATATGATATATAAATTTATATAATAGATTATAAACGTGCAAATTTATTAATAAATGAATCATTTTATATTAATATATCTCTGCTTTAGCCTAATATGGAAATCATGAATAATATTTACTGGGATTTCATATATACGTCAATATGACGTCATAAGAGCATATCCTCATGCTTTAAATTGGACTCGGTAAGGTGGTGTATTTTTCGACCTACACATATCCGCTATACTCCACTTCTGACCTACGCCAAATCCGCTATACAACACATCCGACCTACTAGCACGTGGTTTTACAGCTGCGATATGGACATGTGGCCGCAGCGCCCGGCCCCCTAGCCTGCCTTAGCCGCAGCGCTCGGCCAAGAAATTGTCTTAACCTAACCTAACCCTTAAATAATACAAAAATAAACAGCTGGCGTAGGTCCGATATTGCAGTAGGTCGGAAAGTTAGTAGGTCGGAAGTTCAGTAGGGGGGATATTGCGTATAGACGATGTAACATTACCCTCGGTAAAGAGGCCTTGATATAATACTTAGCCGGCTTCTACAGACCGTCTTGAAGCCTTGTAACTCTTGTTTTAAAAACTTCAGAAGCGCGTCCAGTAATGGGGTCAACGACGCACTTAGTTTTCCAGTTCAAGGCAAATATGCCAAGAGTTGGGAATACACACGCCGCCATTAAAATGTTGAAACCGGTTATTTAGACAGAATTGAACAAATAAGAGAAACTAAAAATATATGAAAGTGAAATAAAACCTATTTGTTAAGCTAAGTTTTTATATGAGACAATCTTATTCTGTAAAACGGAAAAATTATTTCTGTTTTTGTCTATTAATGGCGTCAAGTGTGTACCCAGCAACAGGGGTTGAAGGTTCACAGTGCGGCATCTTTATAGACCTAACATGGCTACAGCACAGTGCAGGGCACAGAAACAAGTTTAATTTTGTTTCTATATTTTCAACAACAAAATCAGAAGTTAGACCACATCTTTATTAATTTATAAATTCAAGTGAACCATCAGACAGAACTAAAACCATGTGAGAAGCAAATTTATAAAGATAAGTTAAAAATAGAATTGCAGAAAGAAAGCTGTGCGATGTGAACTACAAAGCAATGGTGTTTTCAACCCAAATATCAAAATAGATTAAAGCAATTACACATAAACGTTATTTCAATGATAGAATTTAGAAATCAATTGAGGGAAAGTAGCATAGAAGCTGGAAAGAAAGTATTAAATATCATTTTAAAATGAGACTTGTTGGCTAAAGTAAAAGTGAAAAGCAAGGACGAAAAAATATGGAAAAGCTTCCCGGGGCACCTTTCTCCCAAAATGGGCCTTTAAGTCTATACCATAGCAGCACTGATATTCTAGCCATGGAACGGCCAATTGCTCTTACGAGTTCAGATATTGCTGCTTTAGACATAAACCAAATTCAGACGATTCCGCCGATATTTGGCCGGTTAGTCGGTGAAGAGCAATTACTGCACATGAGCACGGCCCCAAATATCAACGCAGCCTACCCTAAACCCCAGTTTTTGGCGACTTCTATGAATGAGAACGGTCCTGTTCTCACCCTACCAGTTCAATCTGGATCCTCTCTGCTTACATCCGTCGGCAAATCCCATCTGCTCCCTTCTGTGATCCCTTTTCAGGACGCTAGTTCGGTCCCTCATGAACTAAGTCATTTAGATCATAGTCATATTATCTCAATGGGAGGGGGCCAGGCGACCTCATTGCTCAACCAGCCTGCTGTGAAGCCCTATAGGGACCCCACTACAGCCCCCCTTAGGAAACTATCTGTTGATCTCATAAAGACTTATAAACATATTAATGAGGTGTATTATGCAAAAAAGAAACGGAGAGCTCAGCAAACACAGCACGAAGAGGCAGGACAGCATAGGAAGAAAGAAAGAAAGCTATACAATGATGGTTTTGATGATGAAAGTCATGATTATATAATTAAACAAGGAGAAAAATTTATTGATAGGTGAGTTGACATAAATTATTAATATTCAAAACCATTATTTTATTAAAATAACTCACCTCACACCCGCCCCCCCCCCTCCGAAAAAATGTATTAATGATTTTAAAATGTTTGAAATACGATTAATGATTCATTTTTGTTTTTCCGATGTTTGTAGGGTGTCCTTTAAATATTTTTTTTCTTTCAACTGATGAGTTGACTTAAATTAACAATATCCTAAAATAAAATAAAAGTAAAGTAAATATGATACTTTTCCATATCCCCCCCCCCCCCGGCCCCCTCTCCTAAATAAAATATTAAATATTGTAAAAACATAAAATATAAAAAGACTCATTTTGTATTTCTGGTTTTCCTGGTTGTGTTCTTTAAATTTTCCTTTCTATTCTCGATATTTTACACAATCTTTTTATATTTTTTTGTAATATCATAATTTTAACAAAAAAACATAATATTCAAAATATTATGCACTCTTTTTTCTATTAATTTCCCCCCAAAAATTAGAATTTTAAACACATAAAATGAATACTAATATTAATATATTGACGAATATAAATGAAATAATAAATATAAAGTAGAGAATTAGAGAAGTTTAAAATCTTTTATTTTTTGTTTTTATTGAATAAAGAAAGAGACCTATCTATTTCTAGGTATGAAATTGATTCCTTGATCGGAAAAGGATCGTTTGGCCAGGTTGTGAAGGCCTACGATCACATAGAAGAGAACCATGTAGCAATCAAGATTATCAAAAACAAGAAACCATTCTTACATCAAGCTCAGATTGAGTATAAACTACTAGAAATGATGAACAGGTAATATTTTAACCCTCCTAAGGGGTGCATATGTTCCCAAAATATTAACCCCCCCCCCCTTGGTTTGAAAATCATTTTCTAGGTTTTTTTTTGGCTGAATTGGAGAAAACAAATGAGTTTTTGGGGTAAATGAATAGATTTTTAAGTATTAAGTATAACAAATTATTAAATGATAAAAAGCTTTTTTTTCATATCCAGTTTTTCATTATCTTACCCAGATCTTGAAAATCATCCCCCCCCCCCCTTATTCTAAAATGATTTTTTTTCGGTGTGAAAGAAAATTTTGGGATTTTTTCCCAAAGAAGTTTAGTTAGATTTATTTTTGAGCAAAATGTATTGAAAAGGAAAGGGAAATTAGTCAGTTGATTTTCAATTTTTCAAAAAAAAAGTTTGGGGGACTAGCCATTTTTGTATAAGGGGGGGGGGGGGTAATTCTTCCAAATATATATATACAATAGGGCCCAGACTCAGACTTTAAAGCTGTTTTACTTTTAAATATTGTCAAAAACAAGCAGGTTTTATGTTAGGAAAATTTGCAAATATTTTTTTATTGTAAATGAGACTGAAAAAGGAAATATTGTTGATAATAGATATATTTATAATGGTAATTTTTCATAAATTATATTTTCATGTTAGGTGCGTGAAAAATGTTCTTTGTAAAAACTGACATTCTTTAGAGTAATTTCAAGTGACTCCATGCAAAGGTTGCAATGCCCGATTTAAACTGTTCCGGGTACACATTAAAAGCCTTGTTTGAATTAGATATTCATGCGTTTGTTTCTTTAAAGTGCTTTTCATTTGTGAGTTTTCTGCGAAAGTGATTTGCGCATTTCGTATAAGAAAGACTGGAGAAATTGCAAGAATTAAACATTTTACCGAGTCAGGAAAACGACGTTATCTTGAACATTTATTTTCTCAGATTACTTGGTCTCATGGGCATTGTCATCTTTACATAAAGGGTCACTTGAAATGTATGCCCCCCCCCCCACCTCCCTGACTGATTTGGATTTAAAACTGATGAAGTCACTGAGCTATAAAGTTGAAGAATTTTAAATATTTACATATGTCACCCACCTGACAGATTGGGTGTAAATAGTCGTATTAGGGGTCTATATTTTCTTAAACAATGAATCCAACCCCCCTTTACGGCATAACTCCCCCTCCCCCCCTAGACGTTTTTTCAAAGGTTTTTTTTGCTGAATTTGGGAAATAATAAATTTCTCTGGTAAAATATATGGAAAAACTTGCCAGTTAATGTCTAATATCCATGGTTTCCCCTGAGGATTAAAAATCATTGCTCTCGCGGGGGGGGGGGGGGGTGATTATTATTATTATTAAAATATATAATACTGTAATGTAATGAAGATCGTTATAGAAAGTAGGATTACAATTCTTCACAGCTTATAGATTTAATCAAAGATATATTTTAAAATAATTTTTTTCTCGTGATTTTAAATTAAAATCTTTAAAATATTTTGGAAAACTGTAAAAGCTCCTCTGACCAAAATACCTACTTTCAGTCTTTCCTATCAGTCTCTGCAGCTGTAATCCTAATTTTGTCTGTCAGATTAGTTGGATCACCAATAGAAAAATTAACAGTTTTCAAGACCAAATTCAACCGCGTATATCGTCACATCAAAAAGTTTTAGTTTGCCATTAATGGGACTTTTAGCGTCATTTCAAGTAACCCTCCATGCAAAGATGGCAATGCCAGATTCACAACAATACCCTTGAAACCATTATCTAATATATAATTTGGAAGAAATTGTTGTTTTTCTAGTTCAAAAATCTGATCATTTCTTCATGTTTTCTTGTAGAAGAAATGCGCAAGTCTCTTTTGCTGAAAATTCACATTTGAAAATTATCAGCTGCTCAAATAATAAACATTGCTATCTAATTCATACTTGATCAGCCATAAACTTTAATTGTACCGTCGTGAAACGGCTATTGCCATGTTTGTATGAATGGTCTATTGAATTTGCTTACTGTCCCTTTAAAATATCACCCTTTGGATTATCCTGTTTATCTTTACCTACTTTTAGCATAATTAATCTATAATACTTTGGTATATTCCCACAACATTCATTTTAAAGATAGTTTGTTAATATCATATTTGATTTTAAAATGTGAACTTTTGATAAATTTGAGGTATAAATTAAAAAATTACTCGGAAACCAACAAGAAAAAGTGAATATCACAGTCAAAATAATAACATATTGTCAATCCCACATATGATTTTTGTATAATCCAGTTTTATTTTATTTCATCTTTGTAATATCTAACTGTTCCTTAAAGGGAGTGTTCGCGAAAAATGAAAGGAGGTACAGGCTTAATGCGATAAAAAAGCGCTTTGATCGCTACTAATCTTACTTCTATCTGTTGCGTTTATTAGGAGAAAATTGTTAAAAAACGACTCACATCGAAGAACCCAGCGTCCGTACAAATTCGGAAAGATGCAACATTCAACTTGGATGGTAAACAAATCAATTTAATTCCAAACAAATCATTCAGATATTACAAACAGCAGTCATCGATTATTTTTTGACGCATTGTATATAGTTAATATTTCATAATATTTTTGATTTCGTTTTTTAAAATAATTTTCGAACATTCCTGGAAAATATGAAAATGTCGTCTTCATTATCCAAAATCCTCGAAACAGGAATAAATTTTTTCAAAAGTAACTCTCAGATCATGAAAAATACAAAATAATATGAAATATCAACTATTTACGAATGTGTCTATGATAATCGATGACTATTGTTTGTAACATCTGAATGATTTGTTTGGAATTAAATTGATTTATTTACCATCCAAGTTGAATGTTGCATCTTTCTGAATTTGTATGAACACTACGTTCTTCGGTATTTGTCGCTTTTAACAATTTTCTCCTTATAGACGCAACAGATAGAAGTAAGAGTAGTAGTGATCAAAAGCTCTTTTTTATCGCATTAAGCCTACACCCCCTTCCTTTTTCGCTTACACTCCCTTTAAAGTTTAAATATTTGGGAAATGGGCTGAATATATTTATTAAAATCCACAACGTTGTAAAATGTTTCTCTCTTTTTCTAGTAAATAATATAAAAAACATTATTCAGACATAAAGAAATTTTAAGTTAAAATATCTTTATCTGTATTAAATAAAATTTTAGAAAAAAATATAAACAATTATTCTGTTAACATCTAATTCGAGTAACAAATTGAAACTTAAATAAAAGGATTTTATGAAAATTATATTTACTTTACACTGATAATTTAATTTTTCAAAAATATAAAAATATGTTCTCCAGGAAAATACGCCTTATTATTTTTATTATTATTATTATTATTATTATTATTATTTAGAGCTGATACTGAAGATAAATACCATGTAGTGAAGCTAAAACATCAGTTTATGTGGAGAAATCATCTCTGCTTAGTGTTCGAACTCCTCTCATACAATCTCTATGATCTACTCAGGAACACACAGTTTAGGTTAGTACAGAGGTTCATCTATAGGCAGGGTTGGATATTTTCTCGAAAATTCATTTCCCCCCCTGTCCCCATTTTTTAGGGGAGGGGGGGGGGGTAATTCTGAAAATATAGAACTCTGCAATTTGAATTTTACACCCACCGCACAAAAAGATCTCAGCTTTAGACTTTTGGACACAAAAAGTTGCTACAAATATTATCGTGTTCGTTTTTATCTGCCGCAAATAGTATTTTGGTCCATAAAATCTGCCAAAAATAAAATAAAATAGTATCTTGTTCCTTTAAATCTGCCACGAATACATAGTATCTCGGCCCATAAAATCTAAAAATAGTATCATTGTCCATAAAATGTTTTTTAGAGTTTATCGTTGAAGTAATAATCTGTTCAGTTGAAACCTTAAGAACCATTGAAAAACAATTTTTCCGTAAAAATTATACCAGAACTGAAAATTGCGAATTTTCTAATTACAATTTTGCAAATTTTCTGAGATTCTGTGATTAAATCTGTTTAAAATTTTAGATTTCGATAGCAACCATTTATTTACACATTTTTTTTTTCTGAAGTTTTGATTTTGAAAGAAAAAAAGGTTCGCGGATTTTTTTTTTGAGGACATCGAAGTATCAAAAAAAACTACAAATTTTTAAAAAATATTAAAAAACACCATACAGAAGAGTTGCACAAAAAAAGTTACACTTTTGCACCAGGCGCCGCAAATCACACTTTTTTACTCACCCTGTAAAAGAAGGAGAAAACTTGCCAGAAAATGTCCCATTTTTTCTAACAACCTTTAAAATTTCCTGGCTGATGATAATTCTATTTGAGAAAGGATTTGTGCATTTGCCTCAAACTCTAGTTCTAATTCTTGCATATCTTTGCAACCTAAAGTGGAAGACTATTTCATAATTATGAGCTCTGCAGTAGGGTGTCCCACGAAACATGATAGATTATTCCAAAGATCAAAGAGGACCGTCAAATCCTCACCCAACTCTCATGTTTCGCGGGACTCCCTGTCTTTTGAATTATAGTCAAAGCTTGAGTGATCAAAGATTTGCAGCATCAGGTCATGCAAAGATAGAGATGAGACGAGTGTTCAGTTTCTTTGGTGCTGTAATATCGCTGAATTTTAGTTTCTATAAAAATACAATTTTTTCAAATATTGCGAAAAAGATATGAAAGAAGTAAAATTTTGCTTATCTCCTTCTTTTAAAACATCGACATTTGTTTGAAGGGAGGGTGAAATCTAGTAAAATTAAAAACCAAAATTTTCCTGGATTATTTCTAACCTTTTCTACTTTCAGAGGTGTATCCTTAAACCTGACTCGAAAATTTGCCCAGCAGATCGCTACAGCCTTGCTCTTCCTTTGTTCTTCTGAAATGAAGATCATCCATTGTGATCTAAAACCTGAAAACATCCTCCTCTGCAATCCTAAACGATCAGCGATCAAGATCGTGGATTTTGGATCATCCTGTCAGCTCGGACAACGGATATACCAGTATATTCAGAGTAGATTCTATAGAAGCCCGGAGGTACTGTTTGGTATCCCCTACGATCTAGCCATAGATATGTGGTCCCTTGGGTGTATCCTAGTAGAGATGCATACAGGGGAACCCCTATTCTCAGGGGCCAATGAGGTCGACCAAGTGAATAAGATCGTAGAGGTGCTAGGTATACCCCCTAAGCATGTGTTGGATCAGGCCCCTAAGGTTAAAAAGTTCTTCCACAAGCTCCCCAATGGTTCCTATGTGTTAAACGTGAGCAAAGAGAAGAGATACCGTCCCGCGGGTTCCAAAAAAATCCACGATATTCTGGGAGTAGAGACAGGGGGTCCGGAAGGTCGGAGATACGGAGAACAGGGACATTCAGTCTCCGACTACCTCCGATTCAAGGACCTTATTCTCCGGATGTTGGACTACGACCCGAAGACTAGAATAACGCCGTACTATGCCCTGCAACATAATTTTTTTAAACGACCCTCCGAGGAGGGTCCATGTTGGGTGGGGGCGAGCCAGTGACAAGAATTAGGGGGAGTGTCCCCATTTGCCCGCCCCCTCCTAGCCCGGGAGGGGCAGGGGGAGAATGAGAGGCTGGGGAGGAGGATGGACCCTCTTCCCGGATTTATAGATCTAGGTTTATTGATGCTTGAATCTCCCTGCCCCCAACCTCTATATGTTCAGTACTAAAATCATCCCCAGCCCTAGCCCGCCATCTTTTTACACTTTGTTAGATATATTTCTTTTTTACAGTTGAAAGAACTTAAAAAACATTTTTGTACATCTTGTTTATTGTATAACTGGTATTAATCATCAATTTTATTAACTTTTATCATTTTTATTATTTTACCATCCTCCCATGCATCCTTTCTGACCAATTTCTATAGAAAAGAAATTTATTTTTAATTTAATGAAATTGTTAGAATATTTATATGAATTAACCAATTAGACATATTGTAATAGTTTAATTTTATTTCTTCTGTATTCTGTAATTTTTTGTTTTACAATTTCTTGATATATTTCAAGAATTTTTGTGCCTTGCAAAACCCCGGGGGTATATGTTTTTAAGAACTATAACACTTTAAGGGGTAATTATGATAATCGAACTTGAACATTTTCTTTCTAAACTTTTTCTCACGAGAAGTTCTTTTTCGGCGTCAAACCTTATAGAAATCCAACGTATGGACCCGCTTCGTATAGCAACATGGCGTATTTTCCTAGAGAACATATTTTTATATTTTTGAAAAATTAAACTTTTTTGTAAAATATTGTAGCTTATCGTTATCACTATCATAATTTCTATTTTTTTAAAATAACCTTGACATAAAAGGAGCAAAATAGTTGAATACGTACATTTTAGGTTTGGAAAAAATTCTTTAAAGTATAAAAAAAAGTTCTCCAGTAATGCTAATATGATTTCATAAAATTTCGTTTTACTACTTAAATAAAAGGATTTTATGAAAATTATATTTACTTTACACTGATAATTTAATTTTTCAAAAATATAAAAATATGTTCTCCAGGAAAATACGCCATGTTGCTATACGTAGCGGGTCCATACGTTGGATTTCTGTAAGGTTTGACCACTTCTTTTTCTGCTATACAAGAAAACTTAAGTTATTAAACTTCTATACGCTTTAAGATAAGGTCTACTTTATTCTTTTGCTCCATTAGTTGGCCGATTAAATGATCTTGCAATTTTGGCGGATTTTTCTTTTAGCAGTGGCGCATTTTCAAAAAAAATCCAACTATTTTCCAAGATTTTTCCCCCGGTTTTGATGTTCCATTAATCTTCTTCTTTAAAGTCATATGAGGTCCCACACAAAATTGGGTTCGATCGGCTGGGGGGGGGGGGGGGGATACTCAAGAAAATATATACCCCTTAACTGAATTTTTAATCCCGTTTTTTTACCTTCTTTAAATTATTATTTTCCTCATCATATTTCCTCTTTGTTTAATTTTTTTTACAAAATCATTAGTTCTCTAAAATTGGCAAATTTAATTTTTTTCTACTGACATTAGTGTACATATGTATACTGTACAGCCCATAGTGCTACACATTATGTACAGTGCAGTACAGATTTTGTACAACCATTATAGCGTAGTTTACCCCTATGTACCTGTGATAGTTGATCTAAGTTGTAGATGGATAGATATTGATCTATGTACATGTAATTATCTATGTACTTATCATTATCCATGTACAAGAAATTGTCCTCGCAACTTCAACACTAAATTCAAGTTTAAAAAGAAATAATTGTAAAGGAATTGAAGACAACATTTTAATGGCACCTGATTTTTTTTAAAGTTGCATGTCTGATTCACAACGGTACGCTTGATACCTTTATCCTGAACAACAATCTACAAAACACTTACAGAGAAACCACATTTGAAAAAAGTTATTATTTATCCAGGAAAACATTGATTTCGCACTCAAGCTTGACACACAGAGGGTTAAAGGGTACCGTTGTGAATCACTGACTTGTCACTCCGCAAAGAGGGGTCACCTAAAATTATGACAGCAGTCCCTTTAAAACTATTAACTACGAGACAAATAAAACTTTCTGTTCAAAAGTGTTGAACAAAGTGTGTTTACAAATCGCCATAAAACTGTAAATTTCCAATCGGACCATTCCATCGGAGAGAAATGTATAAAAAAAACTGACCTATTAAAAATTAATTGATAACCAAACCCTAAATTTAATTTATAATTAATATAATTTTTTGTTTAAAATGTCGGTTGTAAACATAGAAGAAAAGAAAGAAAAAATTCATTTAATTTTGTTAAAGTTATTTTTGATAATTTGAATTTTCTCACAATGTTGATTTTCCAAGAAATAATTTTATCAACTGCAGTAATTTGATGGGACGAACTTAAACAATATATTTTCAGGGATGAATTCATTTTGAATAAAAGAAAAACTAGGTAATAATTAATTGATAACTTTTGTAGACAAATTCTTTACTTAATTAATTTAATATTTTGCATATATAAATATTTGTACATATAGTTAATATACAAGTAAATACATACTTATAAACATATATTTAGCATTATTTTCACCATGGGAATTTGGTTTTTGTGAGACCTAGGATTCAGAAGTACTTTTACTTACTTGTTAATTCTAAAGATGCCAATGATATCTTCGCTAGCTCCACGTATTAAATATAAAATACTAAACCTCAGATTATCTGAAAATGGTAGAAAATGATCTATGTTATCTAAATAAAGAATTTTTTGTTTGGAGAGAAAGTCGCAATTAAGTCTTTTTTGTTTCATTGGGAAAAGTACTTTTATGGTTCTAGTCATTATGAAAAACCTACCTCTTTAATTTTTAAGCAGTTCAGAATTTCTCCGCGCGCTAGGTGACTTTAAATGTCGTTCGAAAATAGCCAAGTTCTCGATTTTTCTACGAAATCAAATCAATATGTAATGAACAAAATTTAAATTATTTTTGAGAAGGTTAAAAATATGACTAAACACTAGACCTTTGAAAAAAAGTTTAATATAATATGTTTCAAGACATTTTCTTACGGTACACTTACTTACTTACTTGTTATACTTGTGGGTTATTCCCAAGATTCCAGTGATTTCTTCGGGAGCTCGATAGCTCTTATTAGTAGAACATGAAGATTAATCCAGGACAAAATGGATATTGGCTTATGTCTGTTCTCTGTTCTTCTTATTTATGTAAAGAATTTCTTGGGTGGAGAGAAAAACACATAATTCAGGCGTTTTCACTCAATTGGGGAAAGTGCATATTTTTTGGGTAGAAAGTATGTAAAATGTACCTCGTAAGGTCTCAGCAACGACAATGTAAGTTTAAAGTTTCTTCAACAACCTAGTGGCCTGTCTATTTCTAGTTTAGAATTTCTCCGCTAGGTGACTCTAGATGACATTTTAAGATAGCCAAGTTCTTGTCAGCTAAAATACAAATAGAGTAAACAATTTTTTATTAAACTGAACAGAAATAGTTTTTCGAATAATAAAAATGGTTTAAAGAGAAACTCAGTAAATTTATTATTCGTAAACAACTGAAAAATAAGATTAGCCTAAACAGAAATAAGAAATATTCATGGTTATGCATAATTTCTCTGTTCTCAATAAAATAGAACTTAAACACTTATTTAAAAGTATACAGTCCACATATTTGGCAAAGTACTGATATCAACTACACAAAGTAGGAATTAATCATAATATAAAGTAACATGTAGAATTAAGAAAACAAATATCAGTCGGTAGATGTTTATTTTACCTTTAGATTAATCCTCATAATTAGTCATATTTTTAACATTCTCACACACTGGGGCTATAGTTTCTAAAACTGTAAAACAATTTGATTTAGTGCGATTTCCTACTAAAATACAATATTTTGTGCATGTGGGCTCATGTTATTCTTCTCTACATTTTTCTTTAGTGTTTGAAGGTAAGGAGAAATTCAATCTTTACCAAAAATAAAACAGTTTTGTGTGCAACTCGGTTTTAAATTATCTAAATCTATCTGTCTATCTATCTATCTGATTTTAGATAATTATTCTTAAGGTAATAATAAAGTTAAAAAATAAAGTAAATGTTTGTCAGTCCATATTTTCCAATTTTTCCGTCGCTGCACTATAATAATTTTGAGACTTATCTTTTTCCATTTTACATAGTATATATCAAATGAGGAGGGAGGGGNTAAAACTGTAAAACAATTTGATTTAGTGCGATTTCCTACTAAAATACAATATTTTGTGCATGTGGGCTCATGTTATTCTTCTCTACATTTTTCTTTAGTGTTTGAAGGTAAGGAGAAATTCAATCTTTACCAAAAATAAAACAGTTTTGTGTGCAACTCGGTTTTAAATTATCTAAATCTATCTGTCTATCTATCTATCTGATTTTAGATAATTATTCTTAAGGTAATAATAAAGTTAAAAAATAAAGTAAATGTTTGTCAGTCCATATTTTCCAATTTTTCCGTCGCTGCACTATAATAATTTTGAGACTTATCTTTTTCCATTTTACATAGTATATATCAAATGAGGAGGGAGGGGGGGGATTTTACATAGTATATATCAAATGAAATCTGAACGAAATTCTTAATATCTCCTGTAATATTGACAACACAAAAAAAATAATTAAATGACAACTTTTGTAGACAAATTCTTAACTTAATTGATTCTATATTTTGCATATATATAAATATTTTTACATTTAGTTAATATACAAGTAAATACATACTCCTAAACATTTATTTTTTAAGATTTTTTTATCGAAATCTGGGTTTTGTGAGAAAAAGTATCCTTTCACTTGATATATGACACCTCATTTGCAAAAAATTTAGTATTTTAAGTTTTTTACGTGTGTAAACTAATAAAGGATATTCTACCCGCCCCTTTTCTACCTCATAGTTTGCTACCATGTTGAATTATTTGATGGCTATTCTACTTCATATTTTGCTACCATGTTGAATTATTTGATGGCTATTCTACCTCATAGTTTGCTACCATGTTGAATTATTTGATGGATTTTCTACTTCATAGTTTGCTTCCATGTTGAATTATTTGATGGCTATTCTACCTCATAGTTTGCTACCATGTTGAATTATTTGATGGATTTCATAGTTTGCTACCATGTTGAATTATTTGATGGATTTTCTACTTCATAGTTTGCTACCATGTTGAATTATTTGATGGCTATTCTACTTCATAGTTTGCTATCATGTTGAATTTTTTTGATGGGTTTTCGTATTTTAACTGGTGTACTACGTAATAGGTGAAGCAATCAACATTTCAGTTGACTTTGTTTTATGTTTGTTTGAATTATATAATAAAACATAATAATTCAAATGAGCATAGAAATTTTAGTTTAAATAAATATAGTTAAGATTAACTCAAAAATAGTTTAAATGAACAACAAAAAATAGTTTTAATTAATAAGCAAAAGTTGTAATTGTAATTTTTTAATGCATTTTTTTTTTTGGGGGGGGGGAATTATTCCCCCCTTCCCCCCACAACCTACATCTTCCCTCCTCACCCCCCTCCGGTCATCTTCAAATCTCCCCCTGGCCCCCATGTTGCACCTTTGGGTTTGTATCCAACTGCTTTCTCTGGCTAGGGCTCAAACCAACCCTCTTTTCAACCTTGAAACCAAAGTACAAATATACAAAGAGAGAGAGACCCAGTTTGGATAGATAGATAGCAAAACAGCTATATGGATAGATAGATAGAGTTGTTTTTATAATAAAAAAGGATTAAGAAACGCGTCAAAGCATATTCCGTTCCGTTCTGAATCACGCAGTTGACATAATTTTATATCAACATCATGCTTAAATAATTGTTATGCTTCATTAGATTATTACGCCATAAGGAGCAACATTTAACAGTCGAGCCGGTATAAAATAATTCAATTCCTGACTGCCCTGTTGTGTTGGTAACTTATTCGGGACGATACGACTAGAATTTCTTATCATAGGCTGGGGCAGGCAGGAATAAGTTGTGTCGGTACGTTTAGAGGATATAATGCGGACCAACACAAAGACAGAAAACTACGCATACTTTAGTTTTATTCAGGATTTGTGGAGTTAGGAAATTAGTGATTTTTAATTAATAAGTAAGTTAGTAAAACATTAAAACTATTATTTAAAGTTTTCCACTTTTAGGGCAACAGCTGACAGTAAATTACATGTCATAGATTTCATGAAATAACGATTGGCGGATTTTGTCTAAAACAGCTGATGGTTTGTTGATGTTTGGTTGGTATTACAAATGCCTAGCCTAGGCCTTTATACAAGCCTAGTTTGATAATACAATATAACTCAATTATAAGACAATAACCTTTAAGATATTATTGTTTGACACTTCCGGCCACTTGGCACTGATAATTCATATATATCCCAGTAATACATGATTTTGTTATTTATTACAAGGATACTTGTAAATTTTCACAAAAACTGCATTGAAAAAGAAAGCAACATATTAAAAGTGTTGAACAACAATGACAATAAGAACAATTGCTGATGATGAGATAATAATAATAATAATAATAATAATAATAATGATGATGATAATAATAAATTTTCTATTTATGTTTGATTATTTAAAAAAAACTGAGAATTCATCAAATTAATTTATATTTCAACTAAAATAAAATCAAAATTGTCAAAATACATAATAAAATTACTCTTATGGTTTTGATTTCACGCACAAGTTACAGAGAAAAAATTCAATTTTTTCGGTTAAATGTCAGATATTCATAAAGAGAAGTTATGATTGAAAACATTGGCTTGAATCTAACGTGCAATTTACAAGTACTTGTATATTTTTGTGTAAATAGGAATGGCAATAATAATAGTATAAATGATAATCAGTATAAGAATAATAATTATAAAAAATGATAATAATAATAATAAATCTAGAAAATGCCGTTCCTATCTCCAGACTGGCGTGGACCAGGGGATGAATGGGTCAAGTGTCAGGATGGATGGGAAACCAGGTACCCCCCCTTTCATCCTCACCTCATACCTTCACCCCCCCCCCTTTAATCCCCACCTCGTATTCTTCACACTCACCCCCTTTAATCCTTTCCCCTTCTACTTCCAACTCGTTCATACAACACAACCCCTTTCTATCCCTTGCCACTGGTTTCCTTGAAAACCTTCATTTCATGTTTTTCTACCAGAAAATTGATAATTTCCAATTGTTGAATGTTTGTGTCCCGGTAATTGTCAAAATTAAACTCTTTTTTTAATACGCAACATGGCTATGTATTTCCTGAAGTTTTGAAGGGTACCATTATAAATCGAAATACCTCTTCTAAAATCAAGAATTGGTTGAAACTACTTCAGCAGTCCATTATATCTGTACAACATGTTCAAATATATTCAGCAGTCCCTTAAATATCTGTACAACATGTTCAAATATATTCAGCAGTCCCTGAAATATCTGTATAATATGTTCAAATATATTCAACTGTCCCTGAAATATCTGTATAATATGTTCAAATATATTCAGCAGTCTCTGAAATATCTGTACAACATGTTCAAATATATTCAGCAGTCCCTGAAATATCTGTACAACACGTTCAAATATATTCAGCAGTCCCTGAAATATCTGTACAACACGTTCAAATATATTCAGTAGTCTCTTGTATATCTGTACAAAACATTCAAATATATTCAGCAGTCCCTGAAATATCTGTACAACACGTTCAAATATATTCAGCAGTTCCTTAAGTATCTGTACAACATGTTCAAATATATTCAGCAGTTCCTTAAGTATCTGTACAACATGTTCAAATATATTCAGCAGTCCCTTAAATATCTGTACAACATGTTCAAATATATTCAGCACTTCCTTATATCTGTACAACACGTTCAAATATATTCAGCAGTTCCTTAAATATCTGTATAATATGTTCAAATATATTCAGCTATCCCTGAAATATCTGTACAACATGTTCAAATATATTCAGCTGTCCCTGAAATATCTGTATAATATGTTCAAATATATTCAACTGTCCTCTGTACAACATGTTCAAATATATTCAGCTGTCCCTGAAATATCTGTATAATATGTTCAAATATATTCAACTGTCCGTGAAATATCTGTATAATATGTTCAAATATATTCAGCAGTCCCTGAAATATCTGTACAACATGTTCAAATATATTCAGCAGTCCCTGAAATATCTGTACAACACGTTCAAATATATTCAGTAGTCTCTTGTATATCTGTACAACACGTTCAAATATATTCAGCTGTCCCTGAAATATCTGTATATGTTCAAATATATTCAGCAGTTCATGAAATATCTGTACAACATGTTCAAATATATTCAGCAGTCCCTGAAATATCTGTATAAAATGTTCAAATATATTCAGCAGTCACTTAAATATCTGTACAACACGTTCAAATATATTCAGTAGTCTCTTGTATATCTGTACAAAACATTCAAATATATTCAGCAGTTCCTTAAATATCTGTACAACATGTTCAAATATATTCAGTAGTCTCTTGTATATCTGTACAAAACATTCAAATATATTCAGCAGTTCCTTAAATATCTGTACAACATGTTCAAATATAATAATTTTTTGTATTCATTTGTTCCTTTACACGATTCTTTATATTTATTCATTTATTTATTGACAGAAAAGTTGCAGTTGCTAGTGGTATTGAATTCCAACAAACAGGTAACATGGATTAATTGATTGATTGATTAATCAATTGATAGATCAATTGATTTGCATCATGGTATTTGTATTCAATTTGATTTTGCAATGGTTTTGATTGAAATTAATTTTGCGTGCATTCTTTTTTATTGCAATTGATCGACTAAAAAATTGATTTTTGATGAAACATTGTAACATTAATTTATTATGATTTTAAATAAATCAATGGTTTTATTTTATGCATTTTTTTTGAATTGATTGGTTAATAAATCGCCTTTTTATGAAACCATTGACAACTTATTTATGATGATTTGAAAATTCTAACTGGTTGATTTATATATAAATTTTTTAATTTTGGATTATTTAATGATTGATTGATTGATAGAATTATTTATTGATTAATTGATTGATTGATCTCTTATGATTAGTGTCGGATACAGAACGAAAACGAAGACGATGTATAACAGAACCTGGAGCTATAACTCAGGTAACAGACATGAGACAAATAGGGTTAACAGACAGGTGACAGACAGGTAACATACAGCCTGCATAGGATACATACAGAGACAGTTAGGTGACAGACAAATAACAGACAACAAAAAAATAACCCAATTTTGGGATAGAAACACAATATTTATGCAATCTTATGAGTGATTATTTCTGCTGTAACCTTACCTGTACCATTTGCTTAAACCCAGCTTATTAAGTGGAATGGGTCTGTTTTATCTTAACAATTGCTGTCATTATGTTTCTTGGACTGTAGCAACACTTGGGGCCTAATGTAATATATACATATGTCATTTGTTCACATAATAACTACGCAAATTCTGTAATGCGATTAACCCATTTCATGTTCGTAAATAGACATAACTTTGTCATACCCATAAATGTGATTTAATGCGTTATAGATAGTAACGGCTCATAACATGTAATTACGCTGTAAATAACCCAATTCTAATATGAACTACGAAATATAGATCAGTTGAATAAGACTTTGTTTTGATTACAGTATAAGAAGTAGTCTGTGTTACTCGTTGCAGAGATCTTTACTAGTTGATTTAGCATTGAATCTATAGTAAGCTTGAAAATAGGGCTTTGGTACTCGTTGAATTATACAAGTTGAGAAATTGCCTGTGAAGCAATTTCAGTGGACTGATGTGTCATTTAGAACCGAGGAGTTAAGCCTGGTTGATCTGGAAAACAAGTGAGACCTGGATAGATACGTCTCGAGTAAATTGTTATGGAGTAGGCGTTTACTACAGGACTAGATGTTCATAAGTCGACAGTTTTCTTTTTATTAAACAATTAAATGGATCTCAAATGTACGTTTTTTTAGGATATTGGTTCCGGAAAAGAGAATAGAAATCCAGGCAGCCCAAGGTATATATAATTGTAATTGTATTATTAATCCTGTATCTTGTAACTTGTATCTTGTAACTTGTATCTTGTATCTTGTATCTTGTAACTTGTATCTTGTATCCTGTATCTTGCATTCTGTGTCTTGTATCTTGTAACTTGTATCTTGCATCCTGTATCTTGCATCCTGTATCTTGTAGGTTGTATCTTGTAACTTGTATCTTGCATCCTGTATCTTGCATCCTGTATCTTGTAACTCGTATCTTGTAACTTGTATCTTGCATCCTGTATCTTATAACTTGTATCTTGTAACTTGTATCTTGCATCCTGTATCTTGCATCCTGTATCTTGTAACTTGTATCTTGTAACTTGTATCTTGTAACTTGTATCTCGCATTCTGTATCTTGTAACTTGTACCTCGCATCCTGTATTTTGCATCTTGTATCTTGTATCTAATATCTTGAATCTTCTGTCTTATATCTTATATCTTCTATCTTCTATCTTCTTCTCTTCTATCTTCTATCTTCTTTCTTCTATCTTCTATCTTCTATCTTCTATCTTCTATCTTCTATCTTCTATCTACTATCTTATATCTTCTATCTTCTATCTTTTATCTTCTGTCTTCTGTCTTCTATCTTCTATCTTCTATCTTCTATCTTCTATCTTCTATCATCTATCTTCTATCTTCTATCTTATATCTTCTATCTTCTTTCTTCTATCTTCTTTCTTCTATCTTCTTATCTTCTTACTTCTTATCTTCTATCGTCTATCTTCTATCTTCTCTCTTCTAACTTCTATCTTCCATCTTCTATCTTCTATCTTCTATCTTCTATCTTCTATCTTCTTATTTTCTTATCTTCTTATCTTCTATCTTCTTATCTTATATCGTCTTATCTTCTTATCTTCTTATCTTCTTATCTTCTATCTTCTATCTTCTATCTTCTATCTTCTTATCTTCTATCTTCTATCTTCTATCTTCTATCTTCTATCTTCTATCTTCTATCTTTTATCTTCTGTCTTCTGTCTTCTATCTTCTATCTTCTATTCTATCTTCTATCTTCTATCTTCTATCTTCTATCTTCTTATCTTCTATCTTCTATCTTCTATCTTCTTATCTTCTTCTTCTATCTTCTATCTTCTATCTTCTTATCTTCTTCTTCTATCTTCTATCTTCTATCTTCTATCTTCTATCTTCTTATCTTCTATCTTCTTTCTTCTATCTTCTTATCTTCTTCTTCTATCTTCTTTCTTCTATCTTCTTATCTTCTGCTTCTTATCTTCTATCTTCTATCTTCTATAAATTTGCTTCTTTTACCAATCATGTATTTTCTATTTTCTTCTTTTCTCAGGCCTTTTGGTTCAAGTTATTTTTAGAACTCTAAAAGTACGTACTTGGTAATTGGTTACGTTCAAGGAATAAACTTTATTGACGACTTAATACTCTCCTAAGATTGAATTCGGTTTTCTGGCTTAAAAACAGTTTTTTAATGGTGTAATATATAATTTTGACTCTGGACAAGATAAGTCATTGGCTGCAGGGTACCCAGAAATTAAGAATGAAGACCGAATATAAATTCTCTACGTCGTCTCTGAAGTCTCATTTTTTGTGGGTAACCTTGTACGTTAAATTATGAATCAAGACAAATTTATGCACAGCCTAATTGTGTTGGCAAACTATATTAACTAATAACTACGCCAATTTTAATTTCTTTTTATAAAAACGAATTAAAAAAAAATGTTTTTTTTTCAATGTAATTTTTCTGTATTTTAGAAAAAACTGTAAATTTTATGACCTCCGGTTGTTACCCAGCTGTTGTCTACAATTATCATATAATAATCCTAAAAAATGCGTGCACGGGTAATATATACGGGTGCGCCCTACAGAACGTGCTCAAATAAATATTTTAGAGATTGTTTAAATTAAAAACAAAATTTTAAGAACAAATCTTTTTTATGAATAACTGTATCAAATCAAATCAACGTCCTTTTTTATGTTCCCTTTTTAAATTGTATTTTTCCGTTGTAACTTATTTCTATTTTAGGACGATGTCAGCTTAAAAATATTTCTGTTTTAGGACGATGTTAGCTTAAAATTTCCGTTTCTTATCAAGAAATTTAACAAAATACACACTTCGCCTTGACTTTCAGTTTTGTCCAATATTAAGCCGATTTTTTGCTTCAAACTTCGTATAAAACACAAACTCTAAAATTAAAAGAAAAATAGGGACCTTTTATTTTCATCTTTTCTTTTTGGTGATCGTTTCGTTACACCGATATTAATATAGGTAGATAGGTAATATATTGGAAATCTACGAATAAATGCAGGAAAATCCGCGATATTTTGCAAATTGTCAATCCCGTAAAACGAAATTTGCAAATTTTTTATTTTTCTCAATTACATATCAGGTTATTTAAAATTTAGTAACATTTTTTCATATTTGAAATGGCATGGTCAAGGTCTTTTCAAAAATGGATATCATTTTTGGGATTTCTTTTTTGCAAACATTTTTACTATATAACTGGATTTTGCAAATTAAATTAATTTTTTTCAAATTTGCATTCTTTTGCAGATTCTGAAAGTGGAGCATAAGAGCTTTCCAATGATGTATCATTTGTCATATTTGGACATCAAATATATATTAGAGGGAGGGGGATGGGGTAAATTGACCCCCCCCCCAGCGTTTTCTGGGTTTTAAGTACCCCAGCAAGGATAGTGTTAAAATCGTGATAAAATAAAGTTTTTGATTGGGGCTGTTTATGTGATTATTCGAAAAAAAGAAATACAAACAATGGTTGGTTGATCAAATAAACCAAAAAACAAATTCATACAAAAATGTTTCGTGTTTATTCCAAGTTGTAGTTAAGGTTCAACCTTTTCTTCTTCGTGAGATTTTACTGAATTGCTTCAACTACTCAAAAATATTACAGTTTAGGAAATACCATGGGAATATGGCAAGCATTCGTTTTTCAGAATTTATTTAAATTCAACTTTGTTCTTTGTGACATTTTACTGACTTGTATTATAGCATATTTTGACTTTTAAAGAAACAAAGAATGTGAAATCTGTCCTTATTGCCATTTTGCATTATTATGAAAAACAAATTTGTTTTTCGTAATATAGAGCTACCGAATACATATTGAAATTATGGACATATTTGGTTCTAAATATTAAGCAGAATTTGTTTGGGATATCTCACAAATTTATGTTTAGATACAAAATCTTTGTTTTCAATAATTTTAATCTTTTCTAATCTTTTCTCACTTTCTATCTATCTATATATCTGTTTATCTTTCTGCATATCTATATATCTATCTATATATCTATATATCTATCTATATTTAAATCACTCTCTACAACTATCTATCTATCTATCTGTCTCTAAGCTGAACTATGGGGATTTTCAGTGAGTCAACTTTTCCCAGTTATATCTAACCAGTTCTTTGTGCTTTTCTTATAGTTCTTCATATTATTTACATTTATCTATCTATCTATCTATCTATCTATCTATCTATCTATATCTATCTATCTATCTATCTATCTATCTATCTATCTATCTATCTATCTATCATCTATCTATCTATCTATCTATCTATCTATCTATCTATCTATCTAGACTAGAAAGACACAAATCACTGCCTGTGCTCCAACCCTATTGCCCCATCACACTAAAATGTACAAGGTAAATAAAAATTAGCAATTAAAAAACTTTCAGAGGTCTTTATATTTAAGCATATTTTCTCATTCAAGAAGGCTTGTGAAATACAGAGCTATATAGCTTTCTTTTGAAAGAAGGTTGCAATCTTTATACATATTAATTATTTAAGGAGGATACAACTTTTAAAATCAATCAAATCAAATAAATTTTCTTATTCACGGAGGTTGATTTTTAAAAAGTTTTTTTTATTTAGGGAGGTTGCAGGCTTTAACACTTTATCCGATGTATTGAAGCGGTTGGATTTTAGGTTTGTACATTAAAAATATTAGTACCCATTTCACCCTTTTTTGAATCAATTACTTTTTTCGATTTTTTTTTTCTAAATTTAAGACGATGTTAGAATTTTATTTAACAAAAATGTTGACAAATTTCTGAAAGGAACTGAAAGAACTTAAATTTTCTAATCCCTGTCTTTGCAGCCTGGTAAACCTTTTAAACTGAACTTATTTGATCTAGCAGAATTCATAGTTTGAAATATCTAAGGTCTCGGCATTGGGTTGTGCAAAGATATATGGATGCTTAATCAGATATTCTGGCAACATCATAGTTCCATTACATACTTAATATTACAGATCAGCTGTTCACGATATCCGAAGATTTCACTATGTTTCAACTCTATTAAGGTATAGTAAATTGTTTGTGTTTTAAGAAAATATTCTAAGAATCTTGAAAATAATTCTAAAATGTAAAGTACTGATATAGAAAGAAGTCATATTGATATGTAGAACCTAGGTAAAATAGCAGAAGATGGTTCAAATAATCGAGAACTTTTTTTTAAAACTAAATATTTTTATTTTCCGTAGGGTTTTACAAAATAGCATTTTTATTATACAAAATATATATTGTATATATATACTAGTTTAGGTACGGAATTTATGTTTGTGAATGTGTTTTTGTTTGTGTTGTACTAAAATTATTACCTATGTCGCGATAAACATAGAAAATAGACATATACGGTTTAAAATAGACATATACGGTTTAAAATAGACATATACGGTTTAAAATAGACATATACGGTTTAAAATAGACATATACGGTTTAAAAATTGACCGTGTCTTTATTTGTTTTTCTATTTTCAAGATTTCTCAAGTTATAATAATGACGACATTTTTAGAAATACTGTGGGTCGTCGCTTTTCGTGTAATGTGACATAGTTCAGATACAGTCTGTATTAATGTCGACCTTCTTTAATAATCGAGAACTAAATTGTTAGATTTGTACTGTTCAGTGTTCACTTCCGATTGGATAAAATTGATTGTTTTAGATAGATTCTCTTCAAGCTTTGTTTCCATAGAGAATAGAATATATAGAGAGGAATTAAAAGAATCTCTCGGTATGAATTTTTTCAGTCCCTTTCAGCCTGAAAGGGAGTTCAAAGTGTACAAATCATGTAAATGTTCACAAATTTTATGCAGTAGAGCATATTAATACAGTATGTTCCCTAGACTATTCATTTCATTTGATTTATAGTTATAACGGAAAATCATCGTTTGTACAGTGGAAGGCATAGAGTTTATGTGAAATGATCATCGGTCAATTATGAAACCAGCCTATTTCATTATTTGGGTTTCTTTTAACAATAATTTTAGATTTTCTATGAAATGATATTCCAGGGCCCAACAGGTTATATAGCATAAATATGTGAAGTACACCTGCAGTATGGAAACAAAGAAACTGGCCGTTTTACACTTTTTTTCTAGTAAATTCCTCTCTATAAATTCTATTCTCTATGTTTGTTTCTCAAAAATATTGTTACATTTTCATAAAACTTTGTTAGATTCTCATACATAGCAGATCAGAAAAGCAGTTAATTTTGACAATTTTCTCCATTGTTTCTGAGAAGCAAGAAATGAAAATAAACTTTTTTTCAAAAACAAAGAGTTCAATAATTAGACCAGACAATTATGTTAAGGGTATCGTTGTCAATCTGGCGACGTAGCATTGAGGGTTACTTTTCATAGTTTAAAGTTTATATCTTGATTTCTCTTTATAAGTAAGTGGCGACGATACCAATGCGAATCAGGCACGTCTCTCTTTAAAAGTACGCCTAGAGCAACCCATAGATAAGTATACATTTTATTTTCTAGGCTTCTATTAAGTCCTGATCGTCTCTTCAACCTGCCAGGTTCATGTCAGAAGCTAATTTTCAGGTAAGGTTAAAGGGACGATTTCCAAATCTTTTTATTAATGGGACAGTTATACTATGAACATAAGTTAAATCGCTTGTGCTAATTTAGCCAAACATCGCAATTTATAAAACGCTATTATTTAAAACCCATTTTATCGCCAAAAAGTTTTCTTACACATTTTTGTTCTATGGAAACGGCCTCAACTTTTTTGTAAACTTAAAGAAAACGTTAAAAAAACTTTTTTTAGTTAAGTGAAGTTAATAAATAAATTAGGAAAACTTTGTAAATTCCCTCTTTATTTAACTCTTGCCCTCTTTAACTCCTTTATTTCTTTAACTCTTGACCTCTTGACCTCTTGACCTCATTTATTTCTTTAACTCTTGACCTCTTTAACTCATTTATTTCTTTAACTCTTGACCTCTTAAACTCCTTTATTTCTTTAACTCTTGACCTCTTGAACTCATTTATTTCTTTAACTCTTGATCTCTTGAAATTTCTTTATTTCTTTAACTCTTGACTTCTTGAATTCATTTATTTTTTGATCCTTTAAACTCATTTATTCCTGAACAACTTCTAAACTTCTGAACTTTTTATTTCATGAACTTATGCATTTTTGAACTCCCAAACTCCTGAAATCATGGACTCCTAAATTATACTGAACTCCTTAACTCCTGAACTTTTAAACTTCTGAACTCATGGACTCCTAAACTTCTGAACTTCTGAAATCGACTGAAATCCTTAACTCCTAAACTCCTAAACTTCCGAACTCTTGAATTTATAAACCCTGAACTACTGAACTCCTGAACTCCTGAACTCCTAAACTCCTGAACACCCGAACTCATGAATTACTGAACTCTTGAACTACCGAAATTCTGAACTCCTGAAATACTGAACGTCTAAACTTCTGAATTACTATACACCTGATTTCCTGAACTTTTGAACTTCAGAACTCTTCTGAATTCTTGAACTCCTAAACTTCTGTAGTCATGCCTTCTTAAACTCCTCTAATCTTGAACTCTGAACCTTTAAACTCCTGAACACCTAAACTCCTGAACTACCGGAACTCCAGAACTCCTAAACTTCTGAACCCCTGAACTCCCGAACTCCTGAACTTGTCATGCAGCAAATAGTAATTATACAATATATACTTAAATCAGGTATTTATTATCCGTTGATTTTTAAACAATTTCAAAAAAGCTTTACAGAGCAATAACGGTGGGATTCTGGAATAAGTGAAAGTAAAAAGTGTCCAGTCCCTTAAATCAATCAATCATACATTAATTAATCAATAATTATAACTAAAGGATTTTGTAGAAATGGCTGTATATGTACGTCTATTCGATTTAATCAATTAGTCAACTGTTTAACAATGGAAGGAAAATGACAGTATAGTGTCAACATGCTTTTTAGTCTTTTGATTTTTAATCTTTAATCCTTTGATTTTAATTCAATTTATAAATCAATTAACCAATAATTATAAATAAAGGATTCTGGAAGAAATGGCTGTATCGGTATTTGCTGAGAAACGCGGAGAACATATTTTAAAGAAATTAACTGAGGTAAATAATTTTTTAGAATAAACTTTGCAACAATCAATCTAAACGTTTAATCCTTATATCTATACAACCTGGGACCATTAATGAATTACGACAAGCATTAAAACTGCGTAGAATAGGTTGAACTACAAGAAAATTGGTTCAACTACTTCAATATTACTATATCTTTGATATTTCTAATTATACATTCTGAAATATATATTGATAGAAATTCCAGCGAAAACTTTCTTTCGTATGTCTCAAATTGTTTCGCGACATTTGCCATTTTTTCGTGAAAATGAATTTTGCAAAAGAAAGCGAAAACGACGTGAAATTTCGTGGGAAAAAATATGTGTCCATTTTGCGAAAAAATGCGGAATTTCCCTTCTAAAAAAGAAAATTCTCGCAATTTTTTTTTTCTACAATAGAATGCAAAAAAAATTCGATGAAAGGCAAGCAGTACAGCACAAGTATGGACTATGAGGCAGAACGGGACAGTACGGCAAATAAATAACCCCTAATAAAATTTCAGGATCTTCATTATGAGCTTGATGAGAGAAAGGTCTGGGGGAGCAATCATGGAAGTGAGACATTAAACAGAGCTCATACTAATGCAAGGTGAAGCTTCACTTGAAACTAAGAAAGGTTCTTTTTTAAATGTTTGACGATCATTGCATAAATCTGTACATAAATCTGTACATAAATCATTACATAAATCTGTACATAAACCTGAAGTACATAAATCTGTACATGAAAGAGTTTTTAAAATTATAATTACAGGTTTAAAAAGTTTCTATTTATGTATCTTTCAACTTCACGTACATTGGCTTATTTTTTTTTATTTTTTTATTTTTATGATCTGGATTCAAGTCTCTTTGGAAAAAACACACAATAAAAAGTTGTTGATTACTGTATGAATAAAATCCCATAATAAAGCATTAATGTACAATGCAAAGACGCATAAAATTGTGGAAAAGAAAAACAACATTTAGTACAATCTATTATGTCTTCTGTGCGTTGTAAATAAAAATGAAAAAGTGAAACCAAGGTAAAATTAACTTATTTATTTTAACCCTACTTTCATTTTCTGTGTTTCATGTTTATTGGGCAATTTAAAAACAAAACTTGAGTCTAACAGTCGTCTTGCAATGCCAAAGTTTAAATATTTAATAATTAAGATATTGAATTAGTATTTAATTAAGATGTTGAATTAATATTTAATAATTAAGGTATTGAATTAATATTTAATAATTAAGATATTGAATTAATATTTAATAATTAAGATATTGAATTAATGTTTAATAATTAAGATATTGAATTAATATTTAACAATTAAGATATTGAATTAATATTTAACAATTAAGATATTGAATTCATATTTAATAATTAAGATATTGAATTAATATTTAATAATTAAGATATTGAATTAATATTTAATAATTAAGATATTGAATTAATATCTAACAATTAAGATATTGAATTCATATTTAACAATTAAGATATTGAATTCATATTTAACCAATTAAGATATTGAATTAATATTTAATAATTAAGATATTGAATTAATATCTAACAATTAAGATAGTGAATTAATATTTAATAATTAAGATATTGAAATTGAATTAATATTTAACAATTAAGATATTGAATTAATATTTAACAATTAAGATATTGAATTAATATTTAACAATTAAGATATTGAATTAATATTTAACAATTAAGATATTGAATTAATGTTTAATAATTAAGATATTAAATGTTTAGACGAAGACTGGCCTGTATTACAGCTATGGAACAAAAGAGGAATATGGGGTGCAGGGAGTATAGAAGCAGGAGTAGAGAAGGAAAGAGGGAGAAAGAGGAGAAGGATGAGAAGGAGGAGAAGGAAGAGAAGGAGGAGAAGGAAGAGAAGGAGAAGAAGAAGGAGAATAAGGAGGAAAATAAGATCAAAGGATCTGAGGATTTAAAAACAGAGGTATGTTTCTTGCATTTATTTTCGATGACAGGGTGAATAAAGGACTTGAACTGAGGCCGAATTTAAAGAATTTGAGCGGCAGCCTGAAGTTAAGACGCGGTTTAAAAATGGTTGGTTTAATTTAAAATTGTACTCAATGTTTCAAGATTTAAGCCGGCACTCAATTAAATTAGGATATTGGTGGATTTGAGAAGCGGATCAAATTCAATAAGTTCTGACACTGGGTAGTTTTCCAACCAATTTTCTAAAACATTTCTAATATCCGGAAAAAAAAATAATTTTAAATATTGGTGAGGGGGGGGGGGATAAAGATTCTGATGGATGAGGATGAGGATGAGGATGAGATGCTCTGGGAGGAGGATGGGATGACAATGGATGAATTGCCTGAAGAATGTATTCGTGAGATATTACTCCGTCTATCCGACAGCAAAGATATAGATAGAGCAGGTTAAAACAGTTTCCAGAAACTTTACACGTAATTTTAAGTTACAAAGACGACTTTCGATTTAAATTTTTATTTATATCAAGCTTATAAACAGCATGGATACACAAAAACATGGTTAAACACAGAGAAGCTGACAACTAAAAAAATTAAAACTTAAATAAAAGAGTTGTGTCCTCATTATATTGATATAATTGCATGCCACTGTGTGTAAACATTATACATGTTTATATAACATAGATTTCTGATTCGATCTGAAGTATATTTGTATTCAACTTTTATTGCCATGTATTTAAACTGCAGGTGTAGTTAAAAACAGTTTTATATTCAGATCATGTAATTGCTTTACTTTATTTATGGAAAGTGAAATGAAAAACATCCTATTTACTTTTTACATTTTGTTTCTGACATTTTTGTATGAGTTGAAAATATTTTGTAAGAAATATAAAAGGCCTTTTTAAGAAGAAATATTGTAAATTAAAAGGTTGAACCCCAAAAAGTGTGGTTAGGGTATTTTAAGCTTCTAAAATCCTGTAAAGATACTCAAAATGTCCTCAATGGTTTTTTTTATCTTTATTTAAAATTACAGATCAAAAGTAAACTTGATTTAAGACCTACTCTGCATGGACATACTTTGCACATATCCCGCGTTACACACACTCCTATTTAAATTTCCTAAATGATCCCTTTAAATATTTTTTATTCCAGGAGATGTGATGCCCATGATGTCTCTGATAGTTAAAGAGAGAAGAATTTGGAAAGAGTTGGTTTCTGCACACTTTAATAATCTACAGATAGAGTTCATTATTTCTAGGTTAATAANTCTAAAAGTCGTCTTCCTTTTTATCGTATTTTTGTTTAGTTGACTATATACTTCCATAACTCGAGTCTAAAAGTCGTCTTCCTTTTTATCGTATTTTTGTTTAGTTGACTATATACTGCCATAACTTGAATCTAAAAGTTGTCTTCCTTTTATCGTATTTTTGTTTAGTTGACTATATACTGCCATAACTCGAGTCTAAAAGTCGTCTTCCCTTTTCTCGTATTTTGTTCACTTGACTATATACTTCCATAACTCGAGTCTAAAACTCGTCTTCCTGCTCTCCGTTTTTTTGTTTATTTGACTATATTATACCATAACTCGAGTCTAAAACTCAAGCTTAAAGGTCGTCTTGCATTCCACAGATTTATGTTTTCCACTGTATTTAGGAGTTTACTGAGTTGATTCTTCTCTGTAAAAGCTGTCGAGTTCTCTTCTGGCAATCTTTGGGCCATCCTTGTCTAATTCCAGACAATGGGTAAATTAAATCAATATAGTATATAATAATAATTAAAATAATGATAATCACCATTGTATAATTAAAAATGATCTAGTTATTCTTATTTTTCTTTGGGAAAATTAATTTTTTCAATTGTGGTTAGTCTGTAAATGTGACTTTGAGTTTTAATGTAAGGGTTCAAGACTGAAAATTACGTTTACAGACTATATCATGAACAGTCTCTTTAAAGGTCCTGTCTACGGAATTACAATGTCCGATATAATAATTTAGACTAAAATATGTTTAATTGAAATAAAAAGATTGTTTAAATAATACTCATTTTTGAAAATGATAAAATTAAAATTGACAATTGTAGGTGCAGTAAAGGGATGGTTCCCGTTCTTCCCTCAACATTCCTCACATTCTTCTCTATCTAGATTATACTGTACAATCCCTTTATCTTCCCTCAATATTCATCACATTCTCCTCTATCTAGATTATACTGTACAGTCCCTTTAATTTTTTCATCAACATTCATCACATTCTTCTCTATCTAGATTATACTGTACAGTCCCTTTAGTTTTTTCCTCAACATTCATCACATTCTTCTCTATCTAGATTATACTGTACAGTCCCTTTATCTTCCCTCAACATTCATCACATTCTTCATTATCTAGATTATACTGTACAGTCCCTTTATCTTCCCTCAACATTCATCAAATTCTTCATTATCTAGATTATACTGTACAATCCCTTTATCTTCCCTCAACATTCATCACATTCTTCATTATCTAGATTATACTGTACAATCCCTTTATCTTCCCTCATCATTCATCACATTCTTCTCTATCTAGATTATACTGTACAATCCCTTTATCTTCCCTCATCATTCATCACATTCTTCTCTATCTAGATTATACTGTACAGTCCCTTTATCTTCCCTTCCATAATTTGTCCTATTCTATTCACATCCCACCCCAGTGACCCCACTCTAAAAATTGCATGCTCCGAGCCGGTACAACATGAACTACTACTGTATCATGAATTCAGTCGTACTGTCCGTCTGGACTAAAGTTTTATGCAACAAATGTAACCTGGCGAGATCAGAGTGATCCCCTTATCCCCCACCCCTTTATCCCTTTACATTCGTTATATGTATATATATACTTTGCATGGCTGTTTGTCTTTCTGTTTGTTTGAATCCAATAAACGTCAAATTGAAATCTAAAGTAGTCTGTATTGCATATATTCCTTCTTATACAAAAATCTAAATTTTTAAAGTATATGATATTCATAGTTATTTGTATGTATGTAATACTCTAAAATACTCATTATAAAAGCTTAGAAAAATACAATTTCTTGTTCAATCCAGTAATGGAAATAGTTTTAAAAGTCGTCTTAGTATAGACCTTATTTAGAATACAGGATTACCCACAAAAGATGAGACTGTAAAGACGACCTGAAACTTAGATAATGTTACGATGCCTCGTTTCTGCCTTACATATAATCTGTTGAGTTTAGATGGCATATTTAATGATTAGGCAAAAAAATAAACAAGTTTAAAGTTGCAGAGAATCTTGAGAATTTACAGTATACATTCCGTACAGTCGTCTCTGAAATCCAATCCTTTGCGCGTAACCCTTCAATTATGATTTTCAGTTTATAAAAAAGTAAATTTAAATAAATCTATGACATGTTTTAGAGTTTTTTTTCGCACCTACACCTAGAATGAGCAACTGTCGAAAGTGTCATATTGGATTCATGCTTTTGCTACAGTAATAAAATGTCTTGTTTAAGACGTTTTTTGTGATATTTTATTTTTCGATCCTAGGTAACTGTAATAAACTTTAATATGTTTGGGTCGAAAAAAGAAAATTTGAAGAATATTTTTTATGTTAGAATTATTAAAAATGTTTAAAATTTTTGCATTCATATTACTGTAGAATGGTAATGATATTTAGATTTTAGTTGTGAATAAAGAATACAAAATTATTTCTACATTAATCTTTGTACAGTATAACGTCCTCTGAACAACAGGGTTTTTTTATGTAAATTTATGTTTTATTTTATTTGGCATATAATAATAATATAATCAAAAATATAACGAAACATGTAGTAAAACATTTAACTAAAAACTGAAATATGCCGTATTTTTAAACTTTTTAAATACATAGGAAGGGAAAAATGTTTATATTCTTTGCCAGAAAAAGAAGAATGCTTAGTAAAACAAGTATTGTAGAGAATGTTCATAGTTGAAGCAAAGAAACAAAACAAATCAGTGATTAAAGTAACAATTTAAAACCAATAAACCAATACCTTAATCAGGTAAGTCAGGAGTCAGGAAGAGGGAGGGGGGGGGTGCGCCTTTAACTTGTAATCTTTAATATTTTATTGCTAGGTATTTAGGCCATGAATGAACCTTGACAATATATTTCTATGCAAAAGATTCAAGATTGTGATTTCAATTTGTAAAGAGAAATAGTAAACTTGAAGAAACGGGTTTCATGTTATAAAGGGGAAAAGCGTTTATCATTTAAAAAAACTTTAAGTTATTTTACCTTTAAAGGGTCCCGCAACAATATGAAACTTTCACAAATTGTCTATTCTCAATATTTGCTTTCTTTATTTAAAAAAATGAAACCTTATCAAATTAACAGTATTTGTTTTTCTATTCCAAAAAACTTAAAAATTCCAGAAAAAACAACATTTGTTCCGTGGGGGGGGGGGGGGTATGACTATTGCACCCCTCTCCTATGATGTTAGGTACTTTCCCAAAGGATTTTTCCCAAGCGGCAACTTCCCAGGGGTAATTTCCCAAGTGGCAACTTCCCAAATGTGCAATTTCCCAAATAAACATATGATCATTTATAAGATAACAATCTTTAAATTAATGCAGTCGTAGTACTGCAGGATTATTTTTTTATTTTTATAAAAGATAGAAATTTTTTAGAGTTTCTTGTTTTGGCTTCAGGATTCTGCAAACTACATTTATAGAAAACCGTAATAGATCATAATAAATTTAGGTACGGAAAAACATAGTCAACTCCATCATTTTTTCTCCTACAAAGATTGAAAAGGTACTATTGTGAATTGAACATGACACGCTATTAAATCGAGAGTCACTAAAAATTACGCTTACAAACCCTTTAAGTGTTCTTTACTTCATAATTTCTCATCGAAAAACGATGTTTTTAATACTTTTCTAGCTAGTTAATATCTAGATTTTTCTGCAATATTTCTAAAATATGCATTGATATAGAATTTACTTTGCAAAAACATAAATTGGAAAAAGCATTAAAGAAACTATTTTAGAATTTATTTGCAATTTTAGAATTATGCATGCACGTCCGTTCAGTCCAATTCTAAATTTATTTGCATAAATAGCAAAGAACTTTTTAAATTCTAATAAACCAATAGAATTTCTTTAAAAAAAACAATATTTTTTATAAGAGTCAACTCAATATATTCAACTAAGAAGTTACAAACCCAGTTAAGAACATTCCCGTGGTTCTCTGAGTTCCCAAATCAAATTTCGAGGGAAATCGGTCCATGGGTTCCTGAGTTATGCAAACAGACTAACAGAGTTAACTAAGTTACTCATGCCATTTACCCGCACTTGAACGATAATACCTTTAATAAATTTTCGCTTTTAAAGTTGACAACTCAACTAAGAATCTCAAAACCAAGCTAAGAACATTCCCGTTGGTCTCTGGAGTTCCACAATCAGTATTTGAGGCAAAACGATCTAGGGGTTCCTGAGTTATGATCAGACAAACAAAAAAACACTCAAACAGAGATTACAACTTTATATATTTAAATATTGATAGAAATTAGATACACTAGTCAAAACCAGTTTAAAATGAGATAAATTGTTGTTTAGGTCACTAGCTTGGGAATCCAGCTTTGTCTAGAGATTTGAGCTTTCTCTATAAAAGTCAAGTTTTAAACAAAATTACCAAATTAATAACATTTTTGTGTTTCTAACAAGCTACCAAATTGAAAGGAATTGAGTCTTTGTATTAAACTCTGATTTTCTAATACCTATATTTTTTCCACCTGATGGTGTAAACCTTTGATACTTCAAACTTAGATTTTTTCATCTTACAGAATTCATAGTTTGAAATTTCTAAGGTCCACGGCATTGGATTACAAAGATATAGAGATTAGAAAATCTTAGTTTGTGACAAAGACTCAATTCCTTTGTGGCAAATTTATCAAGAGGCTAGGCGTTATGATTTGACCCCAGAGAAAATGAAAAATGCCTCATACAGATTGGAAATGTTTATTATGAGTAATTATACTTTGGATGGAGTTGGTTCTAAACTAATTAGGGGAAGTCTGTTCGACCTAACCTTGACCATTGAATATATTGGCTTGGAAGTTGCAACAATTTAACCAATGAATATATTGACTAGGAAGTTGCAAAAATTTAACCAATGAATATGCTGACTAAGAAGTTGCAACAATTTAACCAATGAATATATTGGCTAGGAAGTTGCAACAATTCAACCAATGAATATATTGGCTAGGAAGTTGCAACAATTTGACCAATGAATATATTGCCTGGGAAGTTGTATGTACAATTTTATGTACTGGCTATAAGTGACTAGCCAAATCAAATTAATTGAGTCTTTGCAACAAACTTAAGTTTTTGAATCAGATATCTTTGCAATTTTTCATATTTCATATTTATACTTTTTGATCTGACAGAATTTATAGCTTGAATTATTAAAAGTACATCAGAATGCAAAGATGCAGCCACAATTAGACTGGATTATTTGAGTTTGATCAAAAAAGTTTTAAATTTCTACAAAATTTGCGAAAAATCACAAAGACGTACAATTGATCACGTTTACAGTCTCATTTGATGATAGATATCAGAGAAAAAAAGAACGATGAAGAACTTTTGTTTGATTTATTGTTAGGGTTAAGTAATTGCAAAGTTTAATTCATTTTCAGATTAAACATAATCTTGTATTACTCCCCCCCCTCCAACCTCCAACCTCCAACCTCCACATTTCCCACAAGTTTAAAACTTTTTTTTCCAACATAAACTTTTTCTTCTTGCATCAGTTTATTCAGAGGGGGCTATTTCTTTATTTATTCAGGTTTGGAGAATTTTAAGTCTGGAAGATTTAAGATTCAGGATTCAGGGTTTAGAGTTTAGGATTCAGGATTTAGGATTCAGGGTTTAGGGTTTAGGATTCAGGATTTAGGATTCAGGATTAAGGATTCAGGATTTAGAGTTTAGGATTCAGGATTTAGGATTCAGGATTCAGGGTTTAGAGTTTGGGATTAAGGATTTAGAATTCAGGGTTTAGGGTTTAGGATTCAGGATTTAGGATTCAAGATTTAGGATTCAGGATTCAGGATTCAGGATTTAGGGTTTAGGATTCTTGATTCAGGATTCAGGGTTTAGGGTTTAGGATTAAGGATTCAGGGTTTAGAGTCTAGGATTTAGGATTCAGG